TATGTATGTATATATATGTATGTATATATATGTATGTATGTATATATATGTATGTATATATATGTATGTATGTATATGTATGTATGTATATATATATATATATGTATGTATATATATATATGTATGTATGTATGTATATGTATATATATGTATGTATATATATGTATATATATGTATGTATATGTATGTATATATGTATGTATATATATGTATATATATGTGTGTATATATGTGTATGTATACGTATGTGTATGTGTGTATGTATGTGTGTATATGTATATATATATATGTATGTATGTATGAGAGAGAGCGCTATTCTCTGTTCCTCATTTTTACTCATGAATATATAATATATAAGTATAGTAGTAGCATTGTTGGAGGGAGCCTGAAAACAACTGCTCCACTAGAATTTCTGTGCACATGACAAATTAAGAACTTGAAATGCAGAATGCAACATATTCCCAACGCTTGTTATCATAATTTACTTTTTTACTGCATATCAAAGCAAATACAAATTTGAGGATAATCCAGCACATAAGGTAAGACACAAGAGTATACAGTTCGCAACTAAAAGAAACTACTTGTTTATCGTTTTTTCATCTTCATATCCTTAGTCATGTCTCCCTCCAGAAGGAATTACTGTAAACTAGTTTCCTTTCATTTTAAATGATTATATTGAGTTCTCTTGTTCTGTCTGCAGCTATTGGTCCTTTGGTCTGTCTTTAGCCTTTGCTCGGATAAAACAGCACATCATACAATATTCCCAGCTCTGTCTACACCATCTGTAAATGTGCTGACAATGGATCCACCTGGCCCGCCTGACTTACTGGGGCTGAGTTTATGAGACACTTCATCAACCTGCCTATCTGTTTCTCCCACTGTAATCTGCTTCTCTGCAATGCTCTTGTTTCACTCATCTCCACTGGGGAGGGACTCTCAGAAGGCACACTAATAACCAACAGCCCCCTTTGATACAAGTGAAAATTCACTCCTGGTCTGATTTAGCTGGTTGGCAACACATGCTAACTAACTAGCTCCTCGTATGGTTCTAGTCTGTCTCTCCATTTAATCCCAGTGGATGGGCTAGTTGATTTACAAAGAACTAGTGTATCCCATCTCCTTTGCTTAATGCCAACAGCTAGTGTGAGATAAGTCTCATGTTTATGTTTATATTATTTAAGAAGTGACAATGCACATTCACTAACATAGCCATCATTTCAATATGCCAGGTTTAGCCACACTGGCTAATTTTCATCTGCAGTCCCTGGTTTGTCATCTGTAGCGTTCATCAGTAACAGGTTAATGCTGGTGTTGCTAACAGGTTAGCGACATAGTATGGGGTGGGCAAGGTTGAGGGGGGGTGGGCGGTATTGATATGCAGACAGGCAGTCTGCTTGCCCACCCTCTCCTCATTTAGGACCATATATCTCAATATGGATGACAAGGTATCTCCTTCTGGCTTGTGGCGCGACACGCTGGCTCTTAGTGCTGATGTCCAGAGACATGGAAACAAAAAGCGGGGGGGGGTAGCAATAAAGTGTAATGGCTTTTGTTTGTAAGAAAGATAAAAGACAGAGTGCAACAGCTCTGGCCAATTGGACTCCTTGTTCCAAATTTGCTCTGTTATGGTAAATTTGTGTATCACATAAATCCTGCTGCCCATCACTCCCGGGTGTATGGTTGAGAAAGACCTTTCACATAAATGAGGTTGTAATTTGTTTAGATGGCGACATCAGTGTGTGTGTGTGTGTGTGTGTGTGTGTGTGTGTGTGTGTGTGTGTG